CCGCAGCCTCAGCCTGCTGGGCTCCGGCAATCCTTCCGCCTCAGCCTTCCAAGTAGCTGGAATTACAGGCGCACACTACCACACTCAGCTAATTTTTTGATTTATTGTAGAGATGAGGTCTCGCTGCCCAGGCGGGTCTTGAACCCGCGGGCTCAGGCAATCCACTCACCTCAGCCTCCCAAGGTGTGGGATTACAGGCTGAGCTACCGAGCCTGGCTCATCATAGATATTTTTGAGCTCCTACTACAAAGTCCAAAATAGACACATACAAAATGTGAGGCGGGTTTCTGTTTTCAAAGAGCTTAAAGTCTTGTGGAGATTTAATCAACCCAAAAAATGGTTTTGTGATCTCCCAGTCCTGAAGCCGCCAAAGCCTGGAGGTTAAAGCTCATTCTGTTTCTGCCACTCAGTGGATGACCTTGGGCAAACCGTTTACTCTCAGTCACTCAGGCTCCTTATCTGTAAAACTGAGCTAACAGCATGATCTGGGGTTGTTATGAGGATGGAGTTCCAAGCTAAGCACTTAGCAGCTGATGGCATACAGTAAGCACTCAATAAATGCCAGCAATGTGAGATAGGCATTAGTGTTACCCACAAATATTCCTGCTCTCTCCAGACTTGTAGAATGCACACATGGTAGGGTCGCATTTTCCTGGCCCTTTTAAGCCAGGCATGGTCATGTGCCTGACTCTGGCTGGTGACATGTGACAGGTGGCCTGTGTCATTTCTTGGTAGAAGCTTAAAAGGCAGTACAAATCTGGTCGCGGAGGCTCACGCCTGTCATCCCAGCACTTTGGAGGCCAAGGCAAGAGGATTGCCTTAGCCCAGGGGTATAAGACCACCTTGGGCAACTTGGCAGACTTCGTCTCTACAGTCAAACAAAAAACATGCCAGCAGTGATAGCACATTTCTGCAGTTCCAGCTATTTGGAAGGTTAATGCAGAAGGATCGTCTGCGCCCAGAAGGTCGAGGCTGCGGTGGCCATGAGCGTGCCCCTGCACTCCAGCCTGGGTGACAGAGTGAGACACCGATTAAAAAAAAGGAAGTACATAACTTAGCAAGTGAATTTCTCCCTGCCATGCTGGTTAGCGGACATGTGCTGATAAGGAGCCTCAGTTGCTAAAATGCATGACTAAGTCTCACACACCCTGTGGCTAATCCGTGATGGACAAGCGGCGAGTGAGATATAAATGCGGGACACTGAGCCACCGGGGCTGTTTGTGCAGCTCAACCTCAGCTCTCTGGACCACACTCTCACTACAGCCTCCAGGGACGCAGCATGAATGGAACTGTGGCAGCCTCCCCTCATGAAGTGTCTTAAGACTTGAATGCAATATGCAACGAGCCCATTCAAACTATTAAGAAGTGAGTTTACCAGCCAGGGGGGTGGCTCATGCCTGTCATTCCAGCACTTCGGGAGGCTGAGGCGAGAGGATTGCCTGAGTTCAGGGGTTCGAGACCAGCCTGGGCATTTTGGTTAGACCACATCTCTACATAAATCAAGAAAAATTAGCAGGGCGTGGTGGCGTGCACCTGTGGTTCCAGCTACTTGGAAGGCTGAGGCAAAGGGATCACCTGAGCCCAGGAGGTCGAGACTGTGGGGGCCGTGAGCATGCCACTGAACTCCAGCCTGGAAAAGAGTGAGATTCCGACTCAAAAAAGAAGTTAGTTTACCACTTACTTCTGCCTCCCACAATGAGAGTTTTAAAATGCCCTGAAGGGGTCAAAACAAATTTAAAAAACTGAGGCCCAGTAAGGTGGCTCACGCCTATAATCTCAGCAATTTGGGAGGCCAGAGCAGGAGGATTGCTTGAGCCCAGGGGTTCAAGATCAGCCTGGGCAATATAGCAAGATCCCATCCTTTTAAAAAAAATTGTCACTAATTTTGCAGGATGTGGGAGATGGAGGCCAGAGGACTGCTTTAGCCCAGGAGTTTGAGACCTGGGCAACTCAGTGAGACCCTGTCTCAATAAAATTTTTTTAAAACTCTAGTCACAGCCGGGTTCGATGGCTCAGCCTGTAATCCCAGCGCTTTGGGAGGCCGAGGTGAGTGGACTGCCTGAGCCTGAGGGTTCGAGACCCTCCTGGGGAACTTGGCGAGACCTCATCTCTACAATAAATCAAAAAATCAGCCTGGCGTGGTAGCGCGCACCTGTAGTTCCGGCTACTCGGAAGGCTGAGTTGGAAGGATCACCAGAGCCCAGCAGGTCGAGGCTGCGGTGGCCGGGAGCGGCCACTGCACTCCAGTCTGGGTGACAGAGTGAGACTCCAACTCAAAAAACAAATAAACAAACAAACAAAAAACTCAAGTCACCTTCATAAATGCCAGAATATGTATTGTAGATAATAAACTCGGAAATGGAAGAGTCAGATTGTGTAGAATACTTAGTGCATTTGTGTTGACCCTCACATCTGTGCCAGGCAACATTCTAGAAACTGGAGATACAGCAGTGAGCAAACAGACCAGAGATCTGCAAACATAGCATCAGTTAAAGAAGCGCTGGAGGACGAATGACTCCAGCTCAGCTGGGCTGTGCATTATTTAAAGAAGGAAGAAAGGACAGCCGGGGTCAGTCGCTGACTTCAATCCCCCTTTGGCAAGTCCTGTGACCCATTTTTGTTTTTTCCATTTTTTTTTTTTTTTGAGTCGGAGTCTCACTCTGTTGACCAGGCTGGAGTGCAGAGGCACACTCACGGCCACTGCAGCCTCAATCTGCTGAACACAGGAGATCCTTCCACCTCAGCCTTCCAAGAAGCTGGGACTACAGGCACGCACCACCATGCCCGGCTAATTTTCTGATTTATTGTAGAGACAGGTCTTGCCAAGTTGCCCAGGCTGGTCTCGAACCCATGGGCTCAAGCAATCCTCTCACCCCAGGCCTCCCAAAGTGCTGGGATTATAGGTGTGAGCCACCGTGCCTGGCTGTTTTTACATTTTTAAAAAGAAGAAGAGGAGGAGAGAAAGGAAAAAGAAAAGGAGGAAATGACTGGGCACGGTGGCTCAGCCTGTCATCCCAACACTTTGGGAGGTTGAGGCAAGAGGATTGCCTGAGCCCAGGGGTTCGAGACCAGCCTGGGCAACTTGGCGAGACCTCGTCTCTACAATAAATTACAAAAAAACTAGCCAGGTGTGGTGGTGTGCATCTGTAGTTCCAGCTACTTGGAAGGCTGAGGCTGAAGGATTGCCTAAGCCCAGCAGGTGGAGGCTGCAGTAGCCATGAGCATGCCACTGCACTCCACCCTGGGTGACAAAAGTGAGACCTCAACTCAAAAAAAAAGAAAGGAGGAAGAGGAGAGGAGAAAGAGAAGAAGAGACAGAGACCTTCTCTGAATCTAAAGTGTTACTTGGCCTTTTTCAGAAAAAGCTTGATGATCCCTGAATAAAGGGTTTTTCTGGAGGAGAAAATAATTGAAATAAAATTGCTAGCATAAAAATGAGACTAAGAAGAAAAAAAAAGTTCAGCTTCAGGGAAGGGAAAGGCCTGGATGCGATACAGCTACAAAGAATTCTCAGTCCTTGAACGCTAACATGAACTTGCAGACTGGAAAGTTAGAAGAATAGAAGCCAGTGGGGATAAGACCTGAAACTGGCTGATAAGGTGCTCACATGTGCACATAATCCCAGTGATTTGGGAGGCCAAGGGGGAAGGATAGCTTGAGGCCAGATTTGAGATCAGCCTGGGCAACATAGTGAGATCCCCATCTCTACAAAAAATTAAAGATTAGCTGAGTGTGTAAGCACCTGTAGTCCCAGCTACGCGGGAGGCCGAGGTGAGAGGATTGCTTGAGCCCTGGAGTTGGCGACAGCAGTGAGCCATGACTACACCACTGCCCTCCAGCCTGAGTGACAGCGTGCGACCCAGTCTTACTTTCGTTTCATCACTCTGTCCCCCCACTTTATGCTAAGAGCCACCTGCGTGTTTGGTGATGTGGCCTTGTGAGCACATTTCATAGTGGACATGATTAGACCCCCAGCAGGGAATCCCAGGAGCATCTCATTAGGTTCTAAAATGCTAGTACCAAGTCACTTCCGAGTTGAGATCGTGAGAGTTCACATACGTAAAGCGCTTAGAACAGTGTCTGGCACACAGTAGGTGCCTAATATCTGTTAGTTATTGTGTCATGAAAAGTTAAGCCTGGCCAAGCATGGTGGCTCACTCCTGTAATCCCAGTACTTTGGAAGGCAGAGGTGAGAGGATTACCTGAGCCAGAGTTCAAGACCAGCCTGGGCAGCACGAGAGCCCTCATCTCTAAAATAAAGCAAAGAAATTAGCCGGGCACGGTGGCACACGCCCGTAGTTCTGGTTATTTGGAAGGTTGAGGCGGAAGGATTGCCTGAACCCAGCAGGTCAAGGCTGTGGTGGCCGTGAGCGTGCCACTGCACTCCAGCCTAGGTGACAGAGTGAGACTCAGAAAAAAAAAAAAGGTAAGCCACATGCTAATAGGATGGACCATGTTCTCTTATTTATGACACTTTTTTTTTTTTAAGTTGGAGTCTCGCTCTGTCACCCAGACTGGAGTGCAGTGGCCGCTCCCGGCCACCGCAGCCTCGACCTGCTGGGC